AAAAATAAATAAATAAATAAATGATTCAGCATGCACAGTCACTGCACTGAGTATTTCTGCTCTTATTATTTTTAAAATGCAATTTTAAGTTACAAATATATATATATATATATATATATTTTAGTCCCTTTAGGTTAAAAGGGATTAGCAAAATTTCCCCCTTACACTTTTAAAATTTATAAAAACGGATGAAGATAAGAAAATAATATCTTTGAGTGACTCAGAAGAAGAATTTAAGTTCTGACTCACTGAAAGATTGAGCTTTAATTTGGCTTTGAAACAATCTCCCCACTTCTGCCACCACAAAAAACTGTATATTTTTACCATCTTCACCAGTTGTACATCACTAAAAGCACGTTTATACGAGCAAGTTTGCTTTTCCCTGCATGGGATAGCTACAGAGCCTTGGTTATTGTCCAAGCACTCTGTGAGCTCAGATTCTCGGCCGCTAACACTGTGCGGATGAGATTTATAAACCTCAAAGTGCCCAGGAATGAGGAGGAATCGAGCAAACGATTGCTTCAGATGCCAGAAATCCTCACGCTGTTTGAGGACACACTATTACAAGATTTTGTGGGGTTTTTTTTTAAGACAGGTGTGATGTTATGCAGCATTTCCAATAGATTTTTGTGTGGTTTTCCTCTCTTCTTGGAGTTTCCTTCCTCCTCTTAGGGCTGGCAGGTTTGGAGGTTTCCTGATGTAAATTGTGTTTTTTGAAGGTGGGTGTTTCAAGAACTTAAATCTTGTGTGTTTAAATGGGAGAAAATTGGTTAATTACATTGGTAGACTCAGCTAATTTTCTTTGCCTAGAGCTGATTATTTGAAAGAAGTCAGCAGCAGAAGTCCTGTTTGCTTAAAGGAAAATTGCATTAATTGAATGTAATGCTGAACTGGATGGGTCCCCAAGTGCATTACTCAGGTTTCACAAAGTAGATGCATCTCAGATACTATCTAACGGACTGAAATTCACATAGACGTAAGGATATAGGTTCTGAAATATTAATAGGTTCTCTTGAATCTTGCACTTACTAGTATCACCCATCTATGCCCAGAGAAATTGTGGATGCTCCTCCCTGGAAGTGTTCAAGGCCAGGCTGGATGAGGCTTTGAGCAACCTGGTCTAGTGGAAGGTGTCCCTGCTGATGGCAGGGGGGTTGGAACTGGAAGAGCTTTAAGGTCCCTTCCAACCCAAACCAGTCTGTGATTCTGTGATTCTACAAAATAACCCTGGTTGTTACTCCTGCTTTACACTGCTTGCGTGTAAAGTGCTAGAGCAAATACATCTTGGAAAGAAATTCAAAGAACGGTGCCTGTTCCACACATCTGGGATGTCACACGGTGTGCACCAGTGAAATCTCACATCCTTGGCTTGAAGGAAGGCTCTGCAGAGTTGGACACAGCAAGAGCAAAGCAGCTGAAGCCTATAAAGCTCACGTAGACTTTGGTCCAATGCTGGTAACAAGACTACAAGCATAAAAGTCGGTATATATATATATATATATATAATCATAGAATGGTTTGGGTTGGAAGGGACCTTCAAGCTCATTCAGTCCCAACCCCCCTGCCAGCAGCAGGGACACCTTCCACTAGACCACATTGCTCAAAGCCTCATCCAACCTGGCCTTCAA